GATCACCTTTGAGGGCTTGGTTCAGAGGGGAAGAAGGAGAGCGTGCTCTGCCCATGTCTCCCTTCCTATCCTCCAGCTTGGCTGGGCGGGTTTACCTCTGCAGATGAGGGGCGTGGCTGCATGCCTGGAACCTCTTCCTCATCTCCGCCCTTTGACCCTTCCTCACACCACAGGATGAGCAGATGGCCCGGGAGCGGCGAGGCCACCAAGTGGAGGGAGGATGCTGTGCACTGGTTGTGGTCTACTTGCTAGGCAAGGTGTACGTGGCCAATGCAGGTGACAGCAGGTATGGGGTGGGCTCTGAAAACGACTAGAGGGGTGACACTTTGTGGGATGGGGAGACGGAAGAGTGAGGTGGTGGGTCTTAAATCCAAAGGCAAGCAGGGTGGGAGGGGTCGAAGACCTAAAGGAGGGCCTGAAAGAGCCGCCTGGGGAGGAAAGATGGGGGGGGGGGTATGGGGTTCTCAGGGTCGTTATGGGGAAGGCCTGGTGTTTCTGGAAATCTCCACGAGGGGGCCGAGGAGAGCTAAACCCCAACCTCTCCCTTCCCTGGGCAGAGCCATCATCGTCCGGAATGGTGAAATCATTCCAATGTCCCGGGAATTCACCCCGGAGACTGAGCGCCAGCGTCTTCAGCTGCTTGTAAGTAGGAACTAAACTCCTGACTCCTGTTCTCCGTTGAGTCTTGTGCCTGTACCCTAGGTCCTGAGGACTCCCCCACCCGCACCGCACAGACAGCTCCTTACCGCAAGGAGTGGGAGGAGAGTGGGGCTGAGCTGATGGAAGCCTCAGCAGGAAGCAGCGTGGGCTGCGCTGGGGCTCCCACTGTGGCCCCAGCTGAGGAAGGAAGTGGAGGCAGAGGTGGGAGGGAGCAGCAAGGGCCCCTGACAGGAGTATGGTTTAGAGCTTTAAGCCCTGGCCCTGGCTGGAGCTGGACTGCCTGGGATTGAATCCTGGTTTGAGTACTTCGCTAGTTGTGTGACTTTGGACAATTCCCTTAACTTGTTTCAGTAGTTCCTGCCTTAAGGGTTGTTGTGCTCAGTAACTGAGTTAATATCTGTCAGTGCTACACAGTGTGTGGCACCTAGTAAACTCCATTTAAGAGTCTGCTATAATTAAGATCATTTAGACACCAGGCGGAGCGGTAAGCGTAATAACCCCTGGCTTTCTGCTCTGTCTGGCCACTCCCAACCCTAGGGCTTCCTGAAACCAGAGCTGCTGGGTGGTGAATTCACCCACCTCGAGTTCCCCCGCAGGGTTCAGCCCAAGGAGCTGGGCCAGAGGATGCTGTACCGGGACCAGAACATGACCGGCTGGTAACACTTCCCTCAAAGCTGGGCCATTCCCATGGCAACGCAACCAGTCCCTGGCCAGCAGCAAGGTGGAATCTGGAGGCTTGGCCAGGCTGGGAGCTGGGGGGATGTGGCCCTTCTCAGGGTTTATGTGAGGGGCGTGGCTCCCAGGGGAGAGGGGCTTTGATGCCTCGGGTGATGCCTCCTCTACTCCCCCTTCCCCAGGGCCTACAAAAAGATCGAGCTGGAGGATCTCAGGTTTCCTCTGGTCTGTGGGGAGGGCAAAAAGGTAAACTCCATGATAGAGGTGGGAGAGGGCAGGAGGACCGGCCATGAGTTGTTTAGGGAGGTGGAGGTCCCGCCTGAGGGCAGGGGTGGAGGGCCCATGGGTTCAGGGCCTGGGGGAGGGTGTTAGCAGCACTGCTGCCTCCTTTTCTTTAGGCTCGTGTGATGGCCACCATTGGGGTAACCCGGGGCTTAGGAGACCACAACCTCAAGGTCTGCAGCTCCAGCCTGCCCATCAAGCCCTTCCTCTCCTGCTTCCCAGAGGTGAGCTGTTGTGGGCGCCTCCTTAACCTCCCCTTTCCTCCTCCGGGGCTCTGGCTGGCTCTCGCCCCAGGTCCCTTATTTCCAAGCTCCCTGTCCACCCGCTTTCCCCATCAGGTGCGAGTGTACGACCTGACACAGTACGAGCACTGCCCCGATGACGTGCTAGTCCTGGGAACAGATGGGCTATGGGATGTCACCAGTGACTCTGAGGTTGCTGCCACCGTGGACAGGGTGCTGTCGACCTATGAGCCCAATGACCCCAGCAGGTAGGGGTTGACTGGCAGCGAGGGATGACAGTGGGGAAGGACGGGGCAAAGGGACGCAATGAGGGCCTGTGTATCTGTCTCCCCATTACATGTCGGTACATGAATGTGCACGTGTGCTCCTGGCAGGTACACAGCTCTGGCCCAAGCTCTGGTCCTGGGGGCCCGGGGCACCCCCCGGGACCGTGGCTGGCGTCTCCCCAACAACAAGCTGGGTTCCGGGGATGACATCTCAGTCTTCATCATCCCCCTGGGCGGGCCAGGCTGTTACTCCTGAGGGGCTCGGCCCCGACCCTCCCACCAGCATCCTAACCTCTCCCTGCTTCACCTGCTCCCAACCCAAATTCCAAAGTTGTCCCCCTGACCTTCTTTAGTGACAATTTAGCTAAAGAAGGGGTGTTGGTTAAACCCAAAACTATAGCTACTGACAAATAAATCAGATGGATAAAAATGTGTCTCTGTGTACTTTGATTAGAAACTGAAAGGCAACGAGAGATGCTTTGGGGTGGGAGAAGGTGCACCAGGATGGTCCTAAAAATGGGGTGTTCCCAGGTTTTCCCCTCTGCCCTTTCCGCTCCATGTACTGTCTTCCATTGTGTGACTTCATCCATCCCCTGGTGTTGTCTGAGTCGGGACTTCCCGCCCAGACCTCTGCGGTCTCCGGGACAGCAGGGCAGCCCTCAGGCGCTGCAGCCCAACCTGCCTCAAACCGAAGTCACCGTGTTCCCAGCAGACTGTGCCTTCTGGCTCGTCACCTCAGTGGGCGCCAGCTCAGCTGCTCACGTTGGAAGTTCGCCTTGAAGTTGGTTCCCTGTGGCTCTTCCTCATCAAGTTCATCACTAAGGATTTTTTAATGGATATATTTGAAATATCTCCTATCTGTCCACTTATTTGCACCCCTACTGTCACTACCGTAGTGCTCCCCTAACTCGTCTCCTACCTCTGTCTCCAGCCCCCTCCCCTGCATCCCCCAGTAGACGGGGGACATAACAGACACAGTGTCCCTTCTGCAGTGTGAATCTGAGTCGGCGATTCCCTTGAGAGAACATTTTAGTGGCTCCTTACTGCCACTCAGAAGAATGCTCTTGAACGTGGCATGTGAGGACCTTCGTGTCCTGGCCACTGTTTTCTCCTCCAGCCTCCTGTTGCACCACCACCACCACTCTCCGGGGGTTTCCTTTCTGCAGAGAGCCTGTGGTGGCTCCAACCCGTTTCAAACCTGCACATCACCTCGAACACTTCACCTGTCCTTCAGGACTGGGCGTCCCATGGCGCATGCATGCGCGCGGTACAGCGACTGCCTCTTCTGTTATTACTGTCTGTAGGAGGAACCGGTGTGGAGTAGCAGCTCAGAGCTGGGGTTCCAGAATCCTGCTGCCTGGGTTCTGAGGCCAGACCCAGCACTAGCTGTGACACCTCTCTGAGCCCCAACTTGCTTCTCAGTAAATGGAGAAAACCATAACTACCACGTAAGGTGGTCGTAAGGACTAAAGTGGCTCATGGACATAGAGCCTGGCCCATGCAGTAAGGGTTCAGTAACTGTTAGTTATCTCGACTTTGTCTGAATTCAGACTAAGGCCTTTGAAGGCAGAGATTGATCTAAAGCGAACACATGGCGCTCACTCGAGGCCCGGGGGCCAAAGTGCTCTGGACCTTGGTCCTTGGCTTCCTGATTTACCGAGTGTGCGGGTGGCACGCCAGACCTTCAAGGTCTATACGACTCCCAACACTCATTCAGCACGTATTTGGTGACAACCTATAAAGTGTCACACCCTGCTCGACAGTGGGAAGGGGACAGGTTGGAGGAGCAGAGGGGCAGCAGGCACAGAGCACCAGCTTTAGAGCCAAACAAACCCCGATGTCTGATAAGATTTTATTTATTTTCAAAGGGAGGGAGGGAGACAAACATCAATGGGAGAGAGAAACATCAATCTGCTGCCTTCTGTACTGGCCCCCACTGGGGACGCTACCCCAAACCCAGGCAGGTGCCCTGACAGGAGTCAAACCAGCGACCTTCCACTTTGCCTGAGGGCGCCCAACCAGCTGAGCCGCACTGGGCAGGGCTATGTCTGAATTCTTGCTGTATTACATAGAAATCGCAAATCTTGGGGAAAGCCACGTGACCTCTCTGAGCCTTGGTGTCTCACAGGCGAAGGGGGACTGGTATACGTAACCCAGAGGCCTGTGGTGAGTAGTAAAACGGCAGAGCTGTGTAGTGGACACAGCACGAGCTAGTAAAATGTTGGTAGACTCCCTCATCCTCCATCCACCTCCTCAGCCACCTTACAGGGAAGGTGATACGCGTGTAGGTACAAACCCAAAGCGTTCGTTCAGACCAGACCAGAAGTGTCCCTAGCGGCACAGAAACACTGCTGTGGTGGGAACTGAATTCCCAGCCGGGGATCTGGATTTCCAGGAGCGCCCTTTGATAGGTGAGTGGGAACTGGACTCCTGGAAATTCCAGGTGGGGGAAGGAAGGAAGTTGGGAAGTGGAACGGTGGCCTCGGTCTCAAAGTTTCTGAAAAGATCTCAGGTTTGGGGGGTGATATTGGGCTGCACTGACTCCGCAACGCGTGCAGAAGCAGAGGGTGGGCCTCTCCGCAGGCCCCTCTTCGGGCGCCCGGGAAACCGCCCTTTCCCAGTCCCGGCCTCCCGGGAGGTCCCAGGTGGCGGAGGCGCCGGCGCCTCGGCGGCCACGGGAGGGCAGCAGCGGCCCTTCCTAGACCCCACCCCGAGCGCCTCTCAACTTTCCCGACGCCGGTCCGCCCCTAGGGCCTGGGAAGCGGAGCAGGGGGAGAGCCCTCGGGGGGTCGCCTGGCCCCGCCGCCCGCTCTTCCCCAGTCCGAGCACCTCCCCCGAGCCCGGGCCACCAGCAGGGGCGACCATCCGTGGGGTGGCCCCGAGCCGGGACGGTGGACGGGAGGAGCCCGGGCTCGCCCCTCCTTTGCCGGGGCCGCCCCTCCCCTCCGCGGGCTGGAAGAGGGCGGGGCGCGGCCCTCGGGTCAGTCTCTGCCTCCGGCACCGGCCGCGCAGCTGTAGGCGGCCGAGCGGAAGGTACCCTGGGCCCGGGGCTGGGGGTGCGGGGCGTCCCGGGAGCTCGTCCCCGGGAGAGCACTGTGCCCTTCTCCGCTTGGGGCGCCGGCTGGGGAGGGGCCTGGGGCCCGAGTGCCGGCCGCCTTCCCTCCGCTAGGACGCGGCGTCTGGGCTGCGCGGGGGTCCGGCCGGCCCGGCCCTGCCTGGGCTACAGCCAGGGCCCCTGGGAGCTGCCCCGCTGGGCCCGTCCCTCCCGGCGTCCGAGCCGGAGTCCTTTCCCTTCCCCTCCCGGCTTTCCGGAACCTGCCCCGCCGGGCAAGGGGACAACTTGGAGCTCCGCGGGAGAGCCCCAGCGCAGGCCGGGCGGTTCCGGGGTCCGGCAGCCGGAGGTGGACCTGGGGTGGGGTGTGGGTCCGGGCCCAGGCCGGGTGGACGTAGGATTTCCCCAGGCGGGGCCGGGGCAATGGCGGGATTAGGGGCGGGGTGTGACCGGTGGGGGCTGCCACTACTCGGCAGGGTCTGGACACCGCCCTAGACGGTGCCAGGAGCCAGCCTGGGGTGGGAGGCAGGGGAGATTAGTGAGGATCCTGCTCGTGTGTGTGTGTGCGTGTGTGTGTGAGAGAGAGAGAGAGGGAGAGAGGGAGAGGTGTAAGGACCGCCTTCCTTCCAGCCCTGTCCCTCACACTCCCCTGCTGGTTTGGGCTGGGAGACCCGAGGCTGAGCCCTGGTTTTCCAGTTGAGGAGGAGGCATCCGATTCCTTCAGGGTGGTTGGCAGGGAGCAGCGGGGCCCTGGGTCATCTGGAAGTGAAGAGAACGCTCCAGGAAAGGGCGGACGTCTGTCTGGCCTCGGAGAAGGCCCCAGGGGTTCCAGGCTCCATTCCAGGTGCAGGGTGGGGTTTGATTGCCCCTCTTAGGGTCTATGGGGCAATTTCGGTGGGGCCGCTTCTCTGGGAGCTGTTGCCATTGCTATCTTGGCCTTTGGCCCCAGAGTCCTGGCCTGGGCCAGCTGCTCTTCTGGTCCAACCAGAGCCTGAAGGGAAAGGCTTCTGATAGAGCCGGGCGCTTCCAGGCCAGTTAGCCCATGTCCCCGTCCAGCTGCCTGCTGCCACCTAAACTGCCCTGCTGGGGAGGGTAGTGGCACACCGAAGCCTGAGCAACTGGTGATTGCCCTCCGCCGAGACTGCGCATCCCCTGCTTCGGCTGCTACCCCAGCCTGTTCCCACACGGCTGGACCAAAGGAACTCGTGGGAGGGAGGGGACCGGGTGGGGAGATTTGGTCACCAGGATTGAATTTCCAGGAACCCCCTTTCTGGAGGATGGTTTCCATTTTTGGAGGGGATCTACTGGCATGGTGGATGCCTTCTTGCCTGTCTTTTGGGGTATCAGGGAGAGCCCCTTTTGAGTGGGAGAGAATGCGGCTGTGTACTTTCAACTCCTGTAAACTCTCTCTGACTCATATCATATCTACTTCCCCTCATTGCAGCATGTGTGTGCGGCGTGGGGGGAGGCCCCCAGACCCCCCTGTTACAAAAGAATGGGCCTTGGGCTGGAATATTGGCTTCGTGCAGGGCAGACCAAGAGAGGGGTGTGAGGTGGTGGTATGTGGGGAGAAAAGGAGTTCAGCCCAGTTTGACAGGATGTGGGACGGAGAGAAAAAGCCAGGTTTTGGGCAGAGATCAGATTACCTTCCCCTTCTTTCTTAACTACTCCCTGCCTGTTCGGTCCTGGGACTGGCTCTCATTTGTCTCCTTTTGGGGGGCTCCTCCCAGCAGCCTTTCCAACAGTCTCAACTTCATCTGACCCTCCTCCCCTCTCTTCCTCCAGGCCTAGCGCCTGGGAACTCCAGCCGGCTGGAGGTCAGCTCCTTTCCCCTGGGAGGGAGGAAGTGAGGCTCAGCTCAGGGGCAGGGGAGCTGGGAAGGTGTGATGAGCTGTGCAGATGCGCGCTGCTCGTGTTGGGGGTGGAGACGGAGAAACCCCGGGAAGCTGACTCCTTGCCCTGAGTCACAGGGAGGGGTGCACAGGGCCTTGGGTGAGCGAGCTGGACAGAGGGGAGGAAGGGGCTGTTCCACGGAGTGGGTGGAGGTGACTCCCTAGTGGGTTATTCTGTCGCTCCGCTTGGATGTGTGGCTCCCTACAGTGTGGTCATTGTCCCCTGCCTGAGGCTGAGTGACCCAGTGTTGCTGCCAGGCCCAGGAGGAAGGGGGGGAGGAAGGCAGGCTGCCCGAGTGTGGGCTGTGGGCAGCGCGGGGACTGAGCCTCCTTTGTGTGACTCGGGGCTCTGGGAACCGGGGTGGGGTGGGCCAGGGAAGCCTGCCGGCTGCTGCCGCTGCCCTCGCTGTCTGGGTTCCCTCCCTCTGCTCCTTCCACCTCTGGGGTGGTTCGTAGAAAAGTCACACAGCCCTGCCTTGAACGCGGTGCCTGCATGACTCTGCTGAATACGTGCGTGAGCCCCGCTTTCCTAATTTGTGCAAATAGGAAGCTCTCCGTTTCCTTTCTACGCTTCTGGGACTGAGGGAGCTGACTTTTGTCAAACTGCCCCGAAGTATCTCTTACCCACCTACCCCGTGGTAGCCTGTGCTTCTGGCCTGTGGCCTTGGGGAGGGACTTCACATTTGTGGCGGGGCAGGGCATGGCTTGTGCTGGGTGAGGGACAGGACCGTGTGTTCTAGATTGGATCTTGGCGATTATTAAATCTTAAAAGTGTCAAAATCCTGGTGCCGAGTGAGGTGTGTTCGGAAACCCTGATGTGTAGAGCAGGTGAAGGCCGGCTCTTCCGGACGCGTCCCTGAGCACCCGCTCCGCGTCCGGGGTCCCGCCGCTGCCGACCGGACTAGGTCGGACCTCATGTCGTCTGGCTCCCAAGTGGCCGGTTTTTCTACCTCCCGCTTCAGTGTCCTTACCCACTGGGGAAGACCTGGCCCTGAGATACGGAATTTCAAGCTCAGTTTGCCTGAACAATTGGTTCTTGGCAAGAACATAAGCCCGAGCAAGCCCCTTTCTGTCCCTTTGCTGGATGCCTCAGTTTCCCGGGAGGTCTTGGGGGGGGCCAGAGAAGTGTTTTTGGACTCATTAGGCTTCTCCCCAAATCCCCACGGCCTTCTCCCTGCCAGCCCCAGCCATGGCTGCCATCCGAAAGAAGCTGGTGATCGTCGGGGATGGGGCCTGCGGGAAGACCTGCCTCCTCATCGTCTTCAGCAAGGACCAGTTCCCCGAGGTCTACGTCCCGACTGTCTTTGAGAACTACATCGCGGACATAGAGGTGGACGGCAAGCAGGTGAAGAAGGCACAGCCCCTTCCCCTGTCGCCTGGAACCCCGCCCCGCCCCTGTGGACGCAGGACGTCCTCCTCCACCACCCACGCCCCGCTCCCCTCTCCCTGTTGTTGCCAATGAAAGTCAGGAAGTGAAGCCACAGTCAGGAAATCTAAACACACCTGCTTCTCCACACAGCCGCCCTTGGCCTCTGAGCGTCAGCGCCCCCACCTGCAAAATGGGGGTAATGACAAGGCTCCTTCAACGGTTTCTGTGAGGATTAGGTAATAGGGGTGCTCACAGTGGCAGGTGAGACAGGTCCCAAAGATCGTGCACGGATGTCTCAGGATTTTAAAAAAATCCCCTAATCTGTGTTGGGTGGCAGTGAATCGCACTACTGGCACGTGGCAGGCACTCAGCAGCTGTGTGTGAGCCTCGAGGACCAGTGGCCTCCCTGAGAACCTCTAGGTGGTGGGGTGCGGGTGACTGGGCGCTCAGGCTGGCCACTCACCGGCCCTGCACGGCAGGTGGAGCTGGCCCTGTGGGACACAGCGGGGCAGGAAGACTATGATCGCCTCCGGCCTCTCTCCTACCCGGACACCGACGTCATCCTCATGTGCTTCTCCATCGACAGCCCGGACAGCCTGGGTGAGGGCGCTGGAGGGAGGGGGCCAGAGCCCCTTGGAATCAACCGACCCGAGGTAGCTCTCGCCTTGGCTCATCCCGGCCTTCCTCCGAGGCCGAGGCTGTGGGGAGGGGCGCTGGGGGCTGCTAGCTGCCCTCACTGTGGGAACCCTGGCCCGTGGGAGGGCTAGGGAAGGGGCTTTGAGCTGGGAAAGGGACTGTCATGCTGAATACCCTCTAAGCCTCTGCGGTGGGGACACCAGGGGCTTGGTGGGGGTTGCTCTCTAGCCCAAGACGGGGCACCAACGCCTGTTGGGACTTGTCTGTGCAGAGAACATTCCTGAGAAGTGGACTCCGGAGGTGAAGCACTTCTGCCCCAATGTGCCCATCATCCTCGTGGGCAATAAGAAGGACCTGAGGCAGGACGAGCACACCCGGAGGGAGCTGGCCAAGATGAAGCAGGTGGGTGGGGCTGCGAGGCTGGGGTAGGGGAAGGGGGCCTTCTCTCCAGAGCCTGCTGGAGGGGACGCTGGCGCCCACCGCCCACCCTGGTGAGGGGGAACCGGAAGGGCCCCTAGTGTCCGATCCAGTGCTTGGTGCAGCCATCAGAGAAGGAAGTGACTTGCCCAAAGTCACTGGGCCTTTTATTTGTCTGTGTTTGGGGTTGGAGCTATTAAGACGAAGAAGAAAAATCCGTGTCTGGAAGAAAGGCCTAGAGTGAGGGAGCTGGCTTAGCAGGAGATCTGGTCACTGGTTCTCTAGCCAGAGGATCGCTTTCTTAGAGAATGCTGCCGAAATACAGAGTATGGACTCTCCTGAGGATAGTTAAGCCAGGGCTTTAAACTGGGGACAGATGTGGTCAGGTCTGTGTTAGGAATGTTACTCGGGCAGCCACACGGTGTGGCTGTGAGACTGAGAGTGGAACCGTGGCCGAGTGGCTCGGTTGGGTCAAGCCCTGTCCCGTACACTGAAAGGTCTTGGGTTCAGCCCCTGGTCAGGATGCAAATGGGAGGCAACTGATTGAAGTTTCTCTCCCCGCCCCCCCCAAGTCAATAAACATTTCCTTGGGTGAGGATTAAGAGTGGAGGCAGGGAGGTCAGTTAGGAGGTGCTAGGTACCTATTCAGGTGAGGAGGGTTTACCATGGGTGTGGGGCTGAAGGAGAGAATTTTAATGTAAACATAAGCCCTGAAGCTGCCCGGGGTCTGGGCCTTGAGTGCTTGCTGGAGAGATTTCTTCTGGTCACTGCGCTTCTGGGGGTGGCAGTGAGACACACCTCCCCACCAGCTCCTTTTGCCTTCTCCCTCCGCCTCCCCCAGGAGCCCGTTCGGTCGGAGGAAGGCCGGGACATGGCCAACAGGATCAGTGCCTTTGGCTACCTCGAGTGCTCAGCCAAGACCAAGGAGGGGGTGCGGGAGGTCTTCGAGATGGCCACTCGGGCTGGCCTCCAGGTCCGCAAGAATAAGCGCCGGAGGGGCTGCCCCATTCTCTGAAACCTTCCCTCCTCCCACACCTCAAGTCCCTCCACAGGGGTGCACAACCCCTCCCCCCCCAGCTCCCACCCTCTTAGGGCTCCGTGCTGAAGGCCCCCTGTTCCGGTTCCCGCTAGCCCAGGACTGCATCCGTGTCCCAAGGCCCCAGCCCTGGTGGTGGCAGGCCCTCCCCCCGCCCCTCCCAGCACCCTGGGTGCCTAGGGCCACGTCCGGCCCTACCAGAGCAGAGTTCTGCTGCTGCCTGGGTCCAGGGGTGGGGATCAGGGTGGGGCTCTTGATCCCTCTGGCCTTTCCCAGAGGATCATAACAACACACCAGCACTTTATGCACTTCTGGCACACAGAAGCAGAAGCCAGTCTGGGGTAGGGGGCTTGGAGGGTGGGGCCCTGGGCCCCTGCTGTCTCTGCTTTGGGCAGGGGCCTGGTCTCTGGGTGTATGCGGTGGGAGGCATGAATAAAAAGGCCACAGGCTTCAACGAGTATGGCAGCTTCCTGTCTTTCTCTCCTGGTCCCTGTCACGGCTGCCAGCCTCTAGTCCCCTTTCCTCTTTTCCAAGTCACACACCAGGCTGCCCCCCACCCGTTTGCAAAGGCAGGACTCTGGGCAGGCAGGGTGGAGTCTAGCAGCGGAGGATGAGGTCATGCCTGGCTCTGGGCCTTGGAGGCGGGTGAGGGGAGTGGTCTGGAGCAGGGGCTAAACTTAGAAGCCTGTGGGTGGCTTCCCTGCCCCCTCCCACTGGGTTTCCTCTCCGGGTGTGGGGGCTGGGATCCTCTCCAGGGGAAAGGGTATGGTCTTGGGGAGTGTCCCACCTTCCCCTGTGGGGTCAGTCTGGGGGCTCCCGAAGCAGGGGCCAGGCCAAGAAGACATGGACGCTTTTGCATAGAACAAGGTTGTTTTTCAGCATTTTTCTGCCTCCCCTGCCTGTCTATCAGTAGCTCTTGGTCTATTCTTCTCTCCAGCAGGGGAAGGGGTGGAATGTCTCGGATTGTAAACTCCTTCCCCCAGCTTTCCTGTCCCTTAGAGGGGCAGCTAGGCCGGGTTCAGGTCTGGGGTTGGGGGGCAGGTAAGGCTTGGCTGGTGTGCGGAGGCTGGAAGCCAGCTGCGTCTCTTCAGAGCTCATTTCTCCACTCTGGCTCCACCTGCAGGGGCAGGTCGCCTTCGCCCTCCAGGTCCTGGGAGAGGTAGCTGTGACGTGGGGGCCCTAGGAGTGAGAGGAAGGGAGCTGTCTTCCTTACCTGCACCCCAGTGCTGGCCCGGGCCTGGCCTGCCTGGCGCCAAGCCGTACCTGAGGTAGAGGAGGAGCCGAGCTTGCTCAGATCTTTGAGTAAGTTCTGTCCTTGTTCCATTTCCAGTGTGGCAGGGAAGGGGCACCCGGTATAGCCCCCTCTTTCTTTACAGAAGTCCAGGAATCTGTGGGGGACAGGGACACTCACAATGCGCCTGGCTGAGGAGCACCAGCAGAGGCTGGAGGTTAAGTCTTGGTCCCCCCACATCGGCCAGTGTCTTTGCATAAGCTGCTTAGCCTCTGAGTGCCAGGTGGTGCCAGGTGACTTAAATGGGGGTGCTATGAAGACGGGCAGGTCTGAGGATGGACTGAACTGGGAGGAGGTGCCTACGAAGATACAGCTGCCCTAAGCTGGGGGCTGTGGCCGCCAAGGGGGGATGATGGGGTGGGAATGCTCACGCCTTCCAGTCGGGGTCATGGCCCAAGAGGAGTGGGTTCCCCACCACGATGAGCAAAGCCTTGGCCCGGGTCACGGCCACGTTGAACCTCTGGAAGGAGGAAGTAGAGCCATCACGGGAGGGAAGAGCCCCAAGGAAGGAAGAATTCCTGCCCCCCCCGCCGGCCCACAAACCTTGGGGTTCTTGAGGAAGCCCAGGCTGAAGTCCAGATCCAGCTGCACAAAGCTCTGGCTGCTCCGCACGGTGGAGATGATGATGACGTTGCGCTCTTGGCCTTGGAACTCCTCCACGGAGCCCACCTGGAGTAGGGAGGGCAGTGCCTGAGCCTGGGGGCAGGGCAGCCTGGAGCAAGCCCTGCCTCAGGGAGCTTGAGCTCCAAGGCGGGAGTGGAGAGGTCACCCGGCACTTGTCTTGGGACTGAGCCGGGGTCCGCATGGGCAGCAGAGGGGACAGGAAATTGGTCTGGAAGCTGCTCCAGTCAAAGGGACGGGGGCTGGAGAGTGTTCTGAGGAAAGAAAACACTCAGCAGTGTTTTTCAAAGTCCCCTGAAGATACTCACTAAATACTTGTTAAAAATATATTGTACAACCCAGACCTCCTGAATCAGAATTTCCAGGGGAGAGGCCCCTAATTCTTCAAGTTCTCAGCCCCGGCTGCACATGAGGTCACCTGAGGAGCTGGGAGTAATCTGGATGCCCTGGCTCTGCCCCCGGATCGCTGTGTTAATTGGCTGGGTGGGGCCCTGGCACAGGCAGTACCAGACGCTGCCCAGGCAATTGTTATCTGCAGCCAATGCGGAGAAACACCACTGAGAGTGAAGCTCCCGTCCCAGAGGGCAGGAGAGGGCAGCAGGACACTCTCATGTGACGTGCCCGGCAGGCCGGCCAGGGAGTTCGGACTTTATCCTCAGGGCCGAGGCCTCCAACCAGCCTGACCGTAAGAAGGGCGTGGGGCTGCTTGCTCAACACGCAGGCATGACGGTCCCATCCCGAACCACGGGTCGGGATCTTCAGAGGGAGAGGCTTGGGGAGGATCGCAGCTGGGGGAGGGAGGGGGGCATGGCCTGGAGCATCAGGACAGAAGCCCGAGGAGGCCCCTGGGCTGGACGCGGGGAAGTGGAGGGCACGGCAGGCAGAGAGTGGATGTGAAACAGTGGTCTGTGTCACCTTCAAGTCCTTGATGTCGTCCAGTCCCCGAAGCTTCTTGTCCAGTCTGGTGATGCATTCTCGGATTTTTTCCACCTGGAAGAGGGGGACAGGTACCCTTCTCTCATCCCATTACCGCTGTGCAAGAGGGAGTCAGGCGGGCAGGAGGCCTCCCAGGTAGGGACCAGCACAGGCCCGAGCGCCTGGAGCCTGGACCTGGCGCTCTGGCTGTGCATGAGGCGTCGTCTGGGGGCGGGGGCGGGGAAGGATGCCAGGGGAGGGCCCAACCTGCTTCCGGTACGGGGAGATGACGCCCACGTGCCGGGGGCTTAGGTAGCCTTTGCCTTTCTTCGACGAGGAGACCAGGAGCTGCTTCAGGTAGTCGGTCACTTTGGCAGCCTCTTCGGGGTTGAAGAAGGACGGGCTGTTGCCCTCACGCTCGTCCTTGCCCATTACACCGTGAAAGATGATGGGAAAGCCCTGGACACAGTCGGGGGAAACCCTCAGCCACACCCCCTACCATCCCTCCCCTCCCTATCCAGCTCTTCCAGGCTACGTGGGCCCCCAGACCAAGGTGATGAAGAGACAGGCTGTGGCTTCCACTCGGAGCCTCCTCCTTCCTTGTACTTTCAATAGGAGGGAAGGCGGGGTGCACAGGTGGGAGCCCCTCACCGGTTGAGGCAGACCCTCCCAGTGGCAGAAGCGTTCCCGGTCCATAATGTTGGCGCAGGCCAGCAGCTCCCCTTCATAGTAGAGTCGGTTCGGAATGTCCAGGATGGTGGGGTGAGACCTGGGAGGCGGGGGGAGGAAGGCAGAGCAAGACCCGGGGCTGTACCACTGCTGCCCCGCCCTCAGGGACCCTGCCCCACTTGCGCTGGGCTCAATCACAGCACCCCCTGCCCCCAGCCCTCTGCACAGTAGGCTCGCTCATCTACAATGTCTGCTGCTAGGACTGGAAGCCACAGAAAACAGCCACATGTGCTTCTGGAGAGGACCCGGTCTGTGGATTTCAGACCAGCCAAGTTTAAAAGAAGAAAGCAATAAGTCAGAAACCCATCCTCAGGTTTCAATTTTGAGAAAGAACAATGCACACACAAGGATCATGTACTGTCACCAGGATTTGCTGAGCTAATGTGTGGAGTCCACGAACACAAGCAGTACCAGCACAGCAGCTAGCGCTGACTGGACGCTCTGTGGTCCCTCCAAGCAACTAGGGACTTGGGGTTCATCTGAGCATTTCAGATGCACGAACTTGCTGAGAGGAAGGCCAGGTCTATAAATAATAATGAGGTTAATGGAAAACCACATCGTCCCTATTTTCCTCACTTCTTGGATTGCCCCCAAACTTCATCTGGGACCCGCACCAGACACACCCCAGTGTCTGGGACCCGGTGGCCCTGCCTTCACACACAAGGGAAGCACGAGGGGGAGAGCCTCTTGCTAAGCCACACAGCCAAGGAGGGGCAGTGATGGGGCCGGGCAGGAGACCCCCGGCCCGGCTTACAGCCCTTCTGCAACGCACAGGCTTGGAGCAACAGGAGCGCAGGAGGGAGCCCTCAGTGGGCCTGCACAGGGTGTGGAGGCAGGGGGTCGTGGGAGGGGGAGGGGGCCGATACCTGTAGTTGCACAGCAGCTTGGTTATGAACTGGGGGTTGTAGCCATTTGCGCCCTTCTTATACAAGGGGTTGTGGGTGAGCAGCCGCTCCAGCAGCGAGTGCCGCAGCCCATGCCTCTGGGCCAGGGGGGAGCGCAGCACGGGCCCCAGCTGCCGGGGGTCTCCTGCCAGCACCAGCTGTCCTCCTGGGTCATTGGATGACTCCTTGACTTCCATCAGCCCTGGGAAGCGAGGTAGTGCGCGGAGAGCGGTGAGCGGCAGGGCCTCCACAACCCCACGTGGGCAGCCCCTGCGCAGCCCACCCTGAGCCCCTCACCTGCTAGGGCCACCAGGCTCTCGGGCTCCATGCACTGGCCGGCCTCGTCGATGAAGACGTGCGTGAAGTGGCTGATGGGGAACTGGGCCGAGACCAATCTGGGAGGGGCCAGGCCAGGCCGAGGTCAGCCCTGGGCACTGGGCCACCAAACCTGAACGCTCACCCCAACTGGCCCCACACCCCACTCCCCAGCCTGCCACCTCTTTTCTTATACGCACACACGATTTGCACACACGCGCGTGCACACTCACACTACCTGCTGGCAGTGATGAGCGTGGTTATTATGACCCGATACTCCTGCAGCTTCTTCTTAGAGGGAAACACGTACTCCCCCTTGCTCGGGTCCCAGTTGCAGCAGGGCTGTGGGTGTGAAGGGAGAGGGGAGTCAGCTTGGTGGCCCCCCACTCTCACCGGTGACTCTGACTCTGGGTCCCCAGGCAGTTTTATTCGCCTCTCACTTCATGCCCGGGGGAACTGAAGGCCAGAGAGGCGGCCCGACCCAGGCAAGGCCACACAGCGGGCCTCAGAATCCAGGTCTGCCAGTGTCCCTGCCTCAGTGACCCCCTGAGCGCCTCCCAGCACCCTGCACCTCTTGGCCTCCTGCGCTTCCCCAGGTACCTTGATGTCTTCGGGCACCACGCGGATGTCCCTGCTTGGGGCCAGCAGGCGGTAGATGGAGCTGGGCAGGTGGGGCCGGAGTCGCTGACAGAGGAGGTCAGCCCC